AGGGCGGGACGGACGTGGCCGTGGACTTGTACCTGGCCGTCCGGCTGCTCTTCACCGTCCTGGCCCTCACCCTACTCTCCATCTTCGTGAGGCTGCGGGGAGCTGAGGGGGAGCGGGCCCGGGAGCCGGCGGCAGCCGAACCGGCCCGGGAGAGCGGCCCCGGGGACCAAGCGGCGGCGGGAGCGGGGCCGGAGGCCGCGAGGGGACGGCTGCTGGTGGAGGAGGTCGGGGCGGTCGAGGAGAGGAAGGAGGCGGCTGCCGAGCAGCGGGAGAAGGCGGCGGAGGAGCCGAGCACCGCGGAAGAGCCGAGCCCCGCGGAGGAGCACAGCCCCGCGGCCGAGCCGAGACCCGCGACGACCGAGAGCATTCCCCGGAAGCCGCCTGCCGAGCCCCAGTAGGATGCAGGAGACCACGCAGCATTTCCCAGCAAGGCAGAGGGGGAAGAGCTGGACTCAGGAAAAGAGAAGCTGGCGGTGGGAGAGCCGGCAAGCGCAGCAGCAGCACCAGCCCCAGTGACAAGTACAGCAGCATCGTGTGAGAGTTCTGAAGGTTTTGAATGGCCTTTGGGTATCCTTGGGACCTGCCTGCTGATTGTGATGGGGATCAGCATGTTGGCACACACACAGGCTGTGTTCTACCCACAACCATTTTGTCTGATCTCAAAAGTTAAGCAGAGTCAGGTTTGGGTCTTGTCTGGGGTTAGACGACAATATAGGGGGACCAAGAGGTTTTCCCCAAGGATGGACAGTCATGAGTGGCAGGGTGTGTGTGACAGTATGGGCAAGTATCTAGTCCACTGGGCCCCTCCAGTGCTTTGGAAGCGTCGGAGATGGAAGGCAGCTGTAGGGAGTCCCCAGCAACAAGCTGCAGAAACTGCTGAAGGGGACGGTGAATTATTTTAAGCCTGGTGGGCTCATGGCACTTCATGCCATCAGAGCAGAGATCAACATATAGATGGGCCCGTGACTGAGGGGTGGACTTAACAATGGACACTATTGCCCAGGTTATTCACAAGTGTGAACACTGCACACAGTCTCTCCTGCTCTGGAAGACTGTTACAAGAGATGGAGCCTGACATCGTGGACCAGATGGACACAGCAGCTTTATAGGGACTGGTCCGTGCACTAAGATAAGAGTGCACCGAGATAAGAGTGATGGTATATTGAAAATGTGGGATCTGAGCATGACGTGAATGGTATGGAATAAGGGGTGGATAATGTCCTGGGTTCAGCAGCAGCAGTCATTTTTCCCCTTCTTGGTAGCTGGTGCAGTGCAGTGTTTTGACTTTCAGCTCGGGAACAGAGCTGATAACAAGGATGTTTTGGTTTGGCCAAGGACTTTGTGAGCCTCATGCTCTGCCAGGGAGGAGGGGAAGCCAGGAGGAAGCAGAGACGGGACACCTGACCCAAACTGACCAAAGAGCTATTCCATACCACAGCACGTCATGCCCAGGAGGTAACTGGGAGTTAGCCGGAAGGGCTGGGAGACTGCAGGGTTGGAGGAGGTATCGGTCGGAGCTTGGTCGGGCTTGGGGGGCAAGTTATCGGTCGGCTGGTGGTGAGGTGTTGTATTCTCTTCCCTTGTTATTTCCTTTATCATTATTATCATTGGTGGTAGCAGTAGTGATTTGTGTTATACCTTAGTTACTAAACTGTTCTTATCTCAACCCGTGGGAGTTGCATTCTTTTCGATTCTCCTCTCCGTCCCTCTGAGAGCAGGGGGAGGGCAAGAAAGGGGGGGAAGTGAGCGAACGAATTACCTGACTGGGTTTAAACCACGACAGAAGACTAAATATGAATTAAACCAGAAACCATATGAAAATAAAATCCCTGACAAGTTTTTGAAGGAGATTCTGATTTTCACATTCCTTGAAGACTTATTTACTTCAGAATCTCTTTATTAAATGGAAAAAATTCTTTGAGTCCCAAAATCACTAGAAATATGTGACAATTTGTGACGTTAAAACAAAGAAAGAACAAAAGAGCCCCCCCCAAATTATTTGGTTTTAATTGTGAAATTGTTTAATTTCAATATAAATTAGTTGACTATTACATGTGTAAGAAAGTAAACTTTGCCAGTTTGAATGAGTCTGCCATAAACCAGGAATGTTTATGGTAATAGAACACTGATCTGTTGTCGTTAAGAATTAAAAATGAGTAACGTTTCTATTTTAAATGGCATCTGGTTAGCAAAGAGAGAACTCAGGCGGTAGTGGGGGAGTGCTGTAACAGGCTTGTTTCTGTTTAGGAGCTGAGTAAGACCAGGTCTCTTGCTTCCCCAGTAGACAGGATTCCCGGAACATGATGTTGAAACTGATGCTGTTTCTTTACATCTGTTCTCTTAGAATTCTATAAGCTTTCAGCTTTTCTCGAAATGGTAAAAAATATGCTTGATAGGTAAAGGTAGGACAGATGTAAGAATGGGTTTGTGTGCATGTGCTAAAAGAAGCACGAAAACCCAAACCACCACTACCACCCCCCCCCCCCCCCCCCCCCCCAAGAAAAAAAAAGATTACGTTTTAGTTCTCACGAAAGAAATGTTACATTGCATTTTAAAAAAGTGGTGGGTGGGGGAAATCTTATCACGAAGCTGAAGTTTCCTTCCCCTCCTCTTTAGCGGCATGTAGAGGGACTCTACGAACAGAAAGCAGCTGTAGATCGAAGGGGGACAAGGTTGGCAGAGGTTATATAAAGATACCCGCGGAGGGTCTCTGTGCAGGCAAACACTGACAACAAAAAAATTACAAAGCAGCACATGAAGAGCCCAGAGCCTGGGCGGGGCGGTAGCACTGAGTGAGGACGCAGATTGGTAGGATTTTGCCGCAGAGAGCTGGGAGAGTCGAGACGGGGCCGGGGCTGCCGCTCCTGCCGCTCCTGCCGCTGACGGAAACCCAGATCTGCCACGGAAAAATCACTTGCGCGGAGCAGGGAGGGCAAGGACGGGAGGGGAGAGAAGCGAAAGGTTGCGCAGACTGAATTCGAGCAGGAGCCGAGTGGCAGCACGGGGCTGGAGTGCAGTCCCGGTCCAGACAGCAGAGCCACCAGACGCGCCACAGCGCCGGTGCCGAGGAAAGCGGCCCAGTCAGCGTCTCACGGGAAGCCCGTCCTGAGCTGCGAGGGGGCCGCTTGGGGGCGGAGGTAGTGGATAAGGAATCGCCTGCGCAACTCCCGCGTCCCATAGTCTTCCCCTCCCACATACTCCCCCGCCGTCTCCCACCCCCCCCACCCCCCTGCAGTCCTCAACCAGGTCGGATCCTGCGCAATATAGTGCTGCTCCGCTGGGCTGGTGGCGTTCAGCGAGCGCTTGTAAAGTGTGCGGTCATGTCTGGTAGAGGCAAAGGCGGGAAGGGGCTCGGCAAAGGTGGCGCTAAGCGCCACCGCAAAGTGCTGCGCGACAACATCCAGGGCATCACTAAGCCGGCCATCCGGCGCCTGGCTCGTCGTGGCGGCGTGAAGCGCATTTCGGGGCTCATCTACGAGGAGACACGCGGTGTACTGAAGGTCTTTCTGGAGAACGTGATCCGCGACGCTGTCACCTACACGGAGCACGCCAAGAGGAAGACGGTGACCGCGATGGACGTGGTGTATGCTTTGAAGCGCCAAGGACGCACTCTCTACGGCTTCGGCGGTTAAGTTCCGGTTGCAGACCGTACACAATCAAAACAAGGCTCTTTTAAGAGCCACCCACAAATTTCACAACGAGAGCTGGTTATTACTAAACTTTATAGTTTTTAGAACGCTCACAATACTTAGACATTCTTGTGTTGTGCAATTGCAAAATTTCAGAGTAGGTGTTGAAAGTTTTTTAGTCACACAGTTTCCGAATTTAGAAGCTGCTACAAAGTATCTAAAAAAGTATCAAGAACTCTGAGTAGTACAAAATAGTTTTTGCTACTGGTTATTTCTCCAATCTGCGCAAAATGAAAGTTAATGTATCTATCAACATACAACCTATGTATTTAATGATTTAATTAACTAATTTGGACTAAAATCGGCAATTGCAGCTCTTTTTAAAAAGGAGTGGGGGCTCTTAAAAGAGCCGTTTGGTTTAAACTTTAGAACTGTTCTACTTGGAGCTGGTATACTTGGTGACAGCCTTAGTGCCCTCGGAAACTGCATGCTTAGCCAGCTCACCAGGCAGCAGGAGCCGCACGGCCGTCTGGATCTCCCGAGAGGTGATAGTGGAGCGCTTGTTGTAGTGCGCTAGGCGCGAGGCTTCGCCGGCGATGCGCTCGAAGATGTCGTTGACGAAGGAGTTCATGATGCTCATGGCCTTGGACGAGATGCCAGTGTCGGGGTGCACCTGCTTCAGTACCTTGTACACGTAGATCGAGTAACTCTCCTTCCTTGCTCTCTTTCGCTTCTTGTCACCCTTCTTCTGCGTCTTGGTGACAGCTTTCTTGGAGCCCTTTTTTGGAGCAGGAGCGGATTTTGCTGGTTCAGGCATCCTTAAAAGTTTCTTTCCAAGATCTTCACTGTACCTCAACAACAGAGAAAATGGCGCCTACCCCCGTATTTATAAGGGCGTTATGCAAATTAGAGGATTGTAACAGTTCCATTCCTATTGGAGTAAAATATACCAACCCAATTACAGGCATTTCCGTCCTGTAACCCTTGGGCGCTACATTTGCAGTCTTTGTGCTTTGCAGCTACTGTGGTTGCGGTAAAACCTACACTAGCAAAAAAAAAAAACCAACAAAACCAAAAAACAACCCAAACAAAAAAAAAAACAAAACCGACGAAACAAACAAAAAAACCCAAACAAAAATAAACGATAAAAAAAAACTGCACTAAATTCGTTTTTATTTTCAAAACTCATATTCATACATGGGTACTTTGTACTGTTCAGGTGCTCCTGAACTTTTAGAATGAGATATTTTCTAGCACCTTTAAAATTCTGAAACTGCACAATTCAAAACATGGTAACATTGCAAGCGTGTCATTCTGCACTTGAACGATACAAAAATGTCTAGAACATTGCACTTTTGAAAGTTTAGTAATAACCAGCTCTCGTTGTGAAATTTGTGGGTGGCTCTTAAAAGAGCCTTTTTGTTTTGACAGCGTACGGTTTGCAACCGGAACTTAACCGCCGAAGCCGTAGAGAGTGCGTCCTTGGCGCTTCAAAGCATACACCACGTCCATCGCGGTCACCGTCTTCCTCTTGGCGTGCTCCGTGTAGGTGACAGCGTCGCGGATCACGTTCTCCAGAAAGACCTTCAGTACACCGCGTGTCTCCTCGTAGATGAGCCCCGAAATGCGCTTCACGCCGCCACGACGAGCCAGGCGCCGGATGGCCGGCTTAGTGATGCCCTGGATGTTGTCGCGCAGCACTTTGCGGTGGCGCTTAGCGCCACCTTTGCCGAGCCCCTTCCCGCCTTTGCCTCTACCAGACATGACCGCACACTTTACAAGCGCTCGCTGAACGCCACCAGCCCAGCGGAGCAGCACTATATTGCGCAGGATCCGACCTGGTTGAGGACTGCAGGGGGGTGGGGGGGGTGGGAGACGGCGGGGGAGTATGTGGGAGGGGAAGGCTGTGAGACGCGGGAGTTGCGGAGACGGTTCTTTATCCGCTGCCTCCGCCCCCATTTCCCGCCCTCCGCCCCCAAGCGGCCCCCTCGCAGCTCAGGACGGGCTTCCCGTAGGACGCCGGCTGATGCATTTTCCCCGGCACCGGTCCCAGGGGAAAGTTCGGCTGCTCTGCCTGTCTCGACCGGGACCGGACTCCAGCCCCGCAGTCAAGCTGCTATGTTCCTGTTCAGCCTGCTCAGCGCATCCTTTCTCTTCTTTGCCTTCCCGTCCTCTCCCCCCTCCACCTCCCCCCGCGCAAGTGACTGTTAAGTGGCAGGTGGGGGTCTCCGTCAGCGGCAGGAACAGCAGCCTTGGACCCGCTTTTCGGACTGCGGCGCCCCGTCTCCATCCCGACCCGTCCCTCTGTCTGCGGCAAAATCCTACCAATCCGCGTCCTCGCTCAGCGCTACCGCCCCTCCTGGAACAGCTGATCGCCATTTCCGCTTGTGGGGATCCCGCGGATGGACTAGTTTTGTGTCGCGCTCTTTGTTCGTTTCGGCCACTGAGGCTTCGTGTTTTGTTTGTCTACCCGTCACTTCTCTCTTAACAGCTTCCCCCTCTTCCGCGCAGCCCAGCGGGCTGGGCTCTGAGCGTTCAGCGCTTTCACGTTCGCACGGAACAGCCTGCAGGTCTGTGCGAGAGGTAGCAGGGAGTGAGGCCTTGGGGGTGGGGAATCATCGGTGAGGGGCTCTGGTGGGTAATGTTTAGACCTGGGGCTCCTGTGAAGGCAACTCGAGCTGCTACTAGGGAGCGGAGGAGGGACCATGCGCCGTTCCCCTTTTCAGCCAACCTCAGCCCCGAGTGGGTCAACGGGCAGTACTGGCCGAGGGGCTTCTGCCCAACAGCTGCCGGGGTCGAGTTGGAGAAGTGGTGGCGAGGGCGCAGATGGATCCAGCAAGAGAAAAAATACATTACCGAAGCTACCAACTAGACGTCTCTATGACATCTGATAAATGATCAATAACCAAATGTGTGTTATTCCAATGAGGAATCCAGATTTTTTTTTCTGTGTATTTCACACGTTTTCTAACGAAACTTGCATATGTGTTGCTTACAGTACTTTGGACTATATTTAGAAAGTAAATAAACATTGAAAGAGTTTCGAGACTATATTTTTTAAATAAAACTGTTACGATTTTTACTTGCACAGAATAGAAATTATATGGCTATGTACTTGCCATTTCTTAAATTATTAATATTCTGAGCATTTCAAACATGTCTGCCTTTTAAAGATTATGGATATAATTTTAAATTTTGATCGTTGTTTATATAATTTCATTGCTGGACATAATTTTCAGAAATTAAGCAACATTTTCAGAATATTTATTGGCAGAATATATTCCCTAGCTTCAGGGGAAAATGTGATTGAGATATTCATATATTAAGTTACAGGTGTCCAAAAAAAGTACAGGTGTTGTATGGTAATTATAACTATCACTGTGAATCCCATTTTCATTCAAACCATTATTTTGAATAAACCGAATTAAAGACCTGCCAATCAAACATACAAAATACGAGCAGCCAAAGCTATCTTTAATTTAGACTATGCTTTTTGACTGCAGTGAATGAATTAAAACTCATTATAAACTAACTAAAAGACTTGTCGCTAGCGGACCTGCCAGGCTGGTGTTTAAAATAAACATTTGGCTCCACAAAGTTTGCTTTGTTCTTTATACCTGAAGAACTGTGTCTAGATGAGTTTTCTGAGGCACAATTAACCTTCTGAATACTAAAGAAAGCCTGAAGGTATTACACAAAATCTTTAAGTGTTTAATAATTTCTTCATATCTCTTCCTAAGTGCAGGTATATCCTAGTATAACTTTTCCCTCCAGCAGTATAACCACTGGAAGACTTGGAAATTTATCTTCCAAAATCTCCTGGCAGAAATGGGTGATGCAGATGCCAAAAGCAGGAGCTGACAGATTTATTACCTGCAACCCCCTTTCCCCAGAGTGTGTGGGACATTTGATATAATTTAACATCATGATCTCTAGAAAGCTGCCTTGCCTGTAGGTTGCTATATGTGGCCACAGACCTGTTTCCTGTGTGTTTCTGTTAGTGATACAGTCAATTCTCTCATGGACCAGGGGGTTTTCTTAGACAAAAACAGTTAAAGCAGGAAGAAAATTTTGCTGTTGAGTATAATCCCTAATGAATTTGCATTTACTGTTCATTGGAGACAATTATTACTTGAATCAAAGTTAAGGATCCAATCCCCAGACTATAAATACTGCAGTTTCCCCATGAGTTTGGACACATAGTACTATGAGTTAAATGAGAAAGGAAACCTTTGCAATACTGTAGCTTTTCAAATAAACTTTAATTAGAACAATTGCCCTAGTTAGTCATTAAACTATAATGATGAGATTGCACTTGATTGTTGCAGTAAGGCAATATCTAACCATGACTGCACAAGAAAGTACATAATTAGTAAATAAATCATCACATCAGTGTATTATATACAACTGCAAAGTTGCTTTTAATTCTCTTGGGGCTTACATGGCAATTTAAATCCATATCTGTACCTGTTACATAATAATATGCAAGCTAGAGTCTTGTTAGTTCTTTTTAATAGAGTTGTCCTGGGTTCAGCAGTAGCAGTCATGTTTCTCCTTCTTGGTAGCTGGTGCAGTGCAGTGTTTTGACTTTCGGCCTGGGAACAGAACTGATAGCGATGTTTTGGTTTGGCCAAGGACTTTGTGAGCCTCATGCTCTGCCAGGGAGGAGGGGAAGCCAGGAGGAAGCAGAGACAGGACACCTGACCCAAACTGACCAAAGAGGTATTCCATACCACAGCACGTCATGCCCAGGATGTAACTGGGAGTTAGCCGGAAGGGCTGGGAGACTGCAGGGTTGGAGGAGGTATCGGTCGGTGCTTGGTCGGGCTGAGGGGGGGCAAGTTATCGGTTGGCTGGTGCTGAGGTGTTGTATTCTCTTCCCTTGTTATTTCCTTTATCATTATTATCACTGGTGGTAGCAGTAGTGATTTGTGTTATACCTTAGTTACTAAACTGTTCTTATCTCAACCCGTGGGAGTTGCATTCTTTTCGATTCTCCTCTCCGTCCCTCCGAGAGCAGGGGGAGGGCAAGAAAGGGGGGGGGAAGTGAGCAAACGAATTACCTGACTGGGTTTAAACCACGACAAGAGTACATTATTCAAAACATTGAAAACAAAGTGAAGGTGAAAAGCGATAGAAAAGCCTTTTGCCTTTTAAACGACGCATTAAGAAGACTTTTGATGCATTGACTGACATTATTGAGTTACTAGATGATGTTTAAGGCCCCTTCCAACCCAAACCATTTTATGCTTCTGAGATCCCTAAATGTAACTGTGATCCACAATATTTGAAGGTGTATGGGTGGAATTTTTTTCGTGTCACAAGCTTGTCAAGATGTGAAGGTGTATTGGAACCCAGTGATATAGCTAAGGCATCTTATGGTATGGATTTCCTCTTTATTACTGTTTATTATATATGCAAATGAGATGAAGCTTGTTTATTTAAACTTGCTTTGCTACATTTCTCCATCTAGTAGGATCTGTTGAAAGCTGCAAGTCTCTAATGCAAGTAGATTTGCCAGCACTCCTATCATATAATCCATCTGACTTATAGAACATTTCCCCCCTTTGAGGTTTCACCAGTAAGATGGCAGCACAAGGTTCACAACTGGTGAAACCACAACTGGCTAAGAAGAAAAAGAATGCTAAGAAGTAGACTTAAGTATCAGAGAGGGTGAAACTCCAGTTACTGAGGTGAGCAGGGTAAATAGTCAAATGAGAGATATTTGGAATTATATTCTGAATAAAATGACATATTTGTGGTCAGATGACAAGAAGAATTTGGAGAACTTCTGGCCTTACTTCCACACTCCCACTCCCATACTCCCACTACTCAGAGAAGGGTAAAGCCCTCTCCTATAGTACCAATTCCGATTTCCATATAGAGGAGTTTTCTTTCACAGAGAAATCACATTCCTAGACACAGATAACCCCACAGTCTTTCTCTGGGATTCTAGTGCTTTAATCTAGTGATACACAATTGTGGTCCAGAAAGCCCATTTTATCCTGGGCTGCATAAAAAGCACCCTAGACAGTAGGTCAACGGAGGATCTTCTCACCTTCTACTCTTCCCTCATGAGATCTCACCTGGAGGACTTCATCCAGCTCTGGGGTTCCTAGCACAAGGAACACATGGCCCTGTTAGAGGAGGTCCAGAGGAGAGTCCCAGAAATTATTAGAGGGCTGGAAGAGCTCTCCTGTGAAGACAGACTGAGAGAGTTACAGCTGTTCACCCTTGGCAAAAGCAGGCTCTAGGGAAACCTTACATCAGCCTTTCAATATGAGACAACAGAGAGAGACTTTTTACCAAGGCCTGCAGTGACAGGACAAGGGGGAATTGCTTTAAACCAAAAGAGGAGAGATTTGAATCAGATATTAGGAAAATTTTTTTTACTTATGAGGGTGGTGAGGCACTAGCACAGGTTGCCCAGAGAAGCTGTGGCTGCCCCATCCCTGGCAGTGTTCAAGGCCGGGTTGGACAGGGCTTGGAGCAACCTGGTCTAGTGGAAGTTGTCCCTGATCATGGCAGGGGGATGGAACTGAATGAGCTTTAAGCTCCCTTCTGACCCAAACCATTCTATGACCTGAAACACAGATGAAGGAATCTGTTCTGGAAAAGACATTAAGAAGACTTGTGCATGTTAAAATAGTCTTAATACAATTGCAATTGTTCAAGAAGAGGAGTGCCAAGTAGCTGCAGCTAATGAGGATAAACAACATAATGAAAACATTATGGCTCTAAGCGTACCTATTCACAAACAAATCCTTAGGTGAGATACCATTACCATACCAGGATAGTGTGATGCTCCAGACAGCTCTCCTCAATATCTCTCCACAAATTATCCATGATGTCCCACTCTGATCATGACACAGTTCTACTTAAAAAAACCTCTCTGTTATAGCTTGGGGGTGGGGAGGAGAGGCACGGGTGTCTTGCTGTGTTTGTGGCATTTTCTTTCCTCTATTACCACAGGGGATAAGGAGGGCAGAAGTGCTGCACAGGTGGGAATTCTGGCCTCAATGCAGTGTGCTGCAGACCGTCAGGTGCTGTTTCTGGGAACACCTTAGTAAGAGGAATCAGCTAGACAAGTCTTTCTCATAATTTATAGCAGTGCATTTAAAGAGCTTTAACACTGTGCTCTTGGGTGGTACATGAGCCAACAATAAAGATGAATTCAAATACTTTTGCCCACTGTTAATTGATACAATAGTTATGCACAGCAAGACAATTAAAGAATGGCATATTTGAAAATTCTACTTAAAAAAGGATATATACCAGCATTGCAAGAAGTTTCCTCTGAATAGAGAGATGCTACATTATTGCTTTACAGCGCAGGTCCATCTAATTGAGGTTCTAGAACAAAACGAGCTATTTCCCTTAAGGCTTTTTTCATTTTATTCCTAAGTCTAGTCACAGGGAAGCTTTGCAACTTTAAAAGAACAACGGCCAACAAAGGAAGCCTTTCTTCATTTTTCCTAACTATATAGGTTTGGAACAATATTTTCATGCTACATAGCTTTTTACACTCTCCCCCCAGCTTTTTAGCAACCCCAGTCCCCATGTTTTACACCATAAGTAGCCCATAAAATCATGACAATTGAGCACATTGAACATTAAGAACGAATCTACTACAAAAAAAAAAAAAAAAAAACAAAAACAGAAAAAGAAAAAATCAAGTACGATTAGTGTTCTTTCCGTACAAAAAAAAATCAAGACCTGGAACGCATATATACCACCCCATCAGGAGAATGAAGTTTGAAGGCTTTGCCACAGAACATGGCATTACCTCAGTGCATAAGGAAACAGCATCCAACCTTTCATAAACCAAGCAATGCAACTCTTTTCTGACCATGTGGGTGGCTCTGAAAAGAGCCTTTGAGTTAAAAAAAAGTGTATTTAAAGAAGTCTAAGCAGCTTCATTTTTTCAGTTTACTTGCTTTTAGCCTTATGACTCTCAGTCTTCTTGGGCAGCAACACAGCCTGGATGTTGGGCAGCACACCACCCTGCGCGATCGTCACCTTGCCCAGTAACTTGTTGAGCTCCTCGTCGTTGCGGATGGCGAGCTGCAGGTGCCGCGGGATGATGCGAGTCTTCTTGTTGTCGCGAGCCGCATTGCCTGCCAGCTCCAAGATCTCAGCCGTCAGGTACTCCAATACGGCCGCCATGTAAACAGGAGCTCCAGCACCGACCCGTTCCGCGTAGTTGCCCTTTCGCAGCAGGCGGTGGACGCGGCCCACAGGGAACTGCAGGCCAGCCCGTGAGGACCGTGACTTGGCCTTAGCTCGAACTTTACCCCCTTGTTTCCCGCGACCCGACATTCTCCAACCGCTTAAACACCTAACACCCAAACCTTACGGTAACAAACAAAACAAACCGGACGCGGCTGCTCTCTCCCTTTTTATCTCTTCCCAGGGAGGAATTACCGCTTGCTGATTGGCTGGAAACATCCATGGCTTAGACAACCAATGAGACGAGGGATCATGTATTAACCAATCAGCGAAAAGGATACGCCCCCTTGCGAGAAGATCCAATCGAATTGAACGACTTGGAGGTCGTGTGTTTGCATAACGGCCCTATAAGTAGAGGGTTCTGCCGCCATTTTATAGTTTTCTTCTTATTCTGACAACGTGTAGTCGTGTGAGTAAAATGCCGGAGCCGGTTAAGTCAGCTCCTGCTCCCAAGAAAGGTTCCAAGAAGGCGGTGACTAAAACACAGAAGAAGGGTGACAAGAAGCGCAAGAAGAGCCGCAAAGAGAGTTATTCTATCTACGTGTACAAGGTATTGAAGCAGGTGCATCCCGACACGGGTATTTCTTCCAAGGCCATGGGCATCATGAACTCCTTCGTTAACGACATCTTCGAGCGCATTGCCGGCGAGGCCTCGCGCCTGGCACACTACAACAAACGCTCCACCATCACCTCTCGGGAGATCCAGACGGCCGTGCGGCTTCTGCTGCCTGGTGAGCTGGCCAAGCATGCAGTTTCTGAGGGCACCAAGGCTGTCACCAAGTACACTAGCTCCAAGTAGAGCGCCTCAGACATTTTTAATCCAAAGGCTCTTTTAAGAGCCACCTACATACTCCTTAAAAGAGCTTTAGCACAGTGTCTCAAGGTTCCTGGGTGTAAAAACGTGGTTGTAAAATATTAAACTCAAGTTGAAATGTCTGTTAAATCAGTCATAATGGCTTGCAATTATTAATGTAAAACCTTGTTAAATTGATTATTACATAAATACTAGCTTTCAAGTTTTCCGGTAAATAAGCGGTGTTATGAATCAGTATAATGATTTAGGATGTGATGCATTATATATTCCATCATAAATGAAAAAGACTTTCATATAGCTTGCACTTGGAAAGTTAACGCACGGGCACCCCAAAAATAGGACAAGAAAAATGCGCCATTTTTGCACAGTTGTCACTAGACAGATGGTCCAGGACAAGACAGAAAGCAGCCTTGTAGATCGGAAGACAAAAGGAGACTAGGAGATGCGAGGATATCTTTCAGACGGGGTGGATGCGCTTGGAAAACGAGCTCATAACGCCGAGAGCCAGCGCGGGCTTTTCTAAATTACCTAATTACCCAATAAGCGAAAGCGGATTCTCCCATCAGCCAATCAGAACCGGACACAGGAGGAGCCACGATGCCGCAGGAGCACCGCCCGCAAAGCGCCCTGCCCGCAGCGGCTGAGTACAGCAGTCAGGAAGAGCTCCTGCCGCTCCGACTACACCACCACTAGTCCAGCAGGGTGCAGAAGAGGACCGCTGATAGCTCTACTCGCACCCCCGCCGCACGCTCCCCCCCCGCCTCCTCCCCGGCAGTCTCCATCTCGAAAAGCAGGTCGGGGAAGTCACGCAGAAATTCAGACCTGCAGAAATTCACGACAGCGCTGCCGAGCGGATAGGTCTATTGCGAAGGAAGCGGAAGAGCTGTGCTGACAGTTCCCGGGTACGGCTACTAAGAGGTGTGGCCGTCGCGCCCAGGCTGTTAGTAACCGCGCTGGTTAAAATCGCCGAAACAAAACTCCACGACCCGGAGCAACACCCGCCCTAAAGCAGTCCCTTTAACCCTCTTGCGGTGCTCAAAAACAAGTCAGCCTTTAGAAAGCGTTTTCGCAGGAAATACAAATTTTATTTTTCCTAGTCTTAGCGTAACCACGGCCGGAAGTTTAGCGTCCCATCCAATCCACAGACGAACGTCCCACACGGATAGTTGTGTGGTTACCTCTGCTGCAGGCACGGACCTCGGCGAAGGAGTGCATCAGCCCTTTTCGGGACAATAGTGGGTGGCTCTTAAAAGAGCCGTTGGGTTTCAGTATTTCCACTTCAGCACTTCACTTCTTCGGCGCCGCCTTCTTTGCCTTGGCTGCTTTCGGCTTGGCTGCCCTGGGCTTAGCTGCTTTGGGCTTCACCGCCTTTGCCTTGGCTGGACTCTTTGCTGCTGTCGCCGCCTTCTTGGGCTTGGCAGCCTTAGTCGCCTTTTTGGGGCTCTTGGCTGCTTTCTTGGCCGCGGCAGCGGCCGGCTTCTTCACTTTCTTGGGGCTCTTCTTCACTGCCGCAGCCTTCTTGGGCTTCTTGGCAGAGCTAGCAGGCTTCTTAGCCGCTGGCTTCTTGGGCTTGGCTGCAGCCGTCCTCTTTTTGGGAGCTTTTTCTTTCACCTCTCCCGGTTTCTTGCTGAGGCGGAAAGAGCCGGAGGCACCGGTGCCCTTGGTCTGCACCAGAGTGCCTTTGCCTACGAGGCTCTTGAGCCCCAATTTGATGCGGCTGTTGTTCTTCTCCACATCGTAGCCGCCGGCGGCCAGCGCCTTCTTGAGCGCGGCGAGGGAGAGTCCCTTGCGCTCCTTGGAGGCGGACACGGCCTTGGTGATCAGCTCTGTGACGCTAGGGCCCGCGGGCTTCCGGGCTTTGGAGCCGCCCGCCGCCTTCTTCGGCTTCTTGGCGGCCGCTTTGGCGGCCGGGGCAGCGACAGCGGGAGCGGCGGCGGGAGCAGTCTCCGACATCGCTGCAGAGACTTCTTCCTAATCAAAAGAAAGTAATTGGGCTACAGTAACCCCGATGCCTGAATTTATAGCGAAGCGGTGATCTGTGATTGGTGCTTTGCAGAGCCCGCCTAACTGTGAGCCAGGAAGAGCTTTTAGTCCGCCGAGTCTGTGTTTCTTTGGAGTTATAAATTCATATTTTTTGTAAACTGCGTGCTACGAAATCACCCCAGTTTCTTCGGGCGGTGAAAAGAAGAGGGTGGACTTTCATTCCGGGGAATTTCTTGCTCTTGGGACCCCAGATGAGAGAGAAAATATGTGTTTAACCCCGCGTTGTGAAGCCAGAGAGACCCCGGGAATGGCAAACTTTTGTTTTTCCTTCTAAATTATAATAAACCCCGTAGACAAAAAGTCTCCCCCGTACTGCAGACTTATTCTTTAGGGGGTTTTCTCCAGATTAGGACAAAAACCGAGGGGGCAGCTTCAATATTTTTGTCGTAAATTGATTTCAAAGAGAAGGAAGTAACACAATTTCATGGCTGAGCATTGAATATGGATAAAGATTCGGCTCCCTTAACCATATCTTTAACTATTAAGGATACCATATTTCTACAGAATTTCCTCTTTTGGGAAAATAAGAGACCTTCAGAGGAATATATGTAGTGTTGAAAAGTGTCTGGAACTTGCAAGGGCTCTTCATTTTTTCTGGTGTTCTGTAAGTGAATAGCAAGATTTTGGTATTTTCACGAATTGTCTCTATTTGTAAAAGTAAGCTGCCAATGCTTAGTTAATGCATATAAATTCCGGATGAACTGCTAGTTTAATGCATCCTTGCTTGCATCTCTCTATACTATTATTCTTTAAGACTTACAGAAGCCAGAAGCAGACTGGCAGGGGAAAAACAGCAAACAGCTATATATACACTAATATGATCGTAAACTACTTAAACATTAATGGAGACAGCTGAAGCCACTGTTCACCCCCAAAAAATGAAATAATGTGGAAATCTGGCCTATATGAACAGAAAGCTTAAACCTCAATATTACCTATAAATATTTGATAAGAATTTTTTTCTTTTTTTTTTTTTTCCCAAGGGATTTTATAAAACCTGCCATTCTCTTCTTTAAAGGAAAAGAAAAACAGCAATTTAGGTTTTCATCCAAATCTTCAGAATATTGAAACATTTTTCAGACAATCCTCACAAATCAGAATCAGCTTTAATTATTATAATCCCACTTAATTTTTAAGACTCAAAAAGTGACAACAAAGATTACTTATTTTTTTTTAAGGACTTCAACAAAAGTCTCGACTGGCTTGTAATGAAAAAGAAGCCAGGTTTGGTTTTGGTTTTGGTTTTTATTTCCTTTGTTGAAAAGAACAAATTAAGCCCAAGCCTAATATTTTGCCCTATTGTACTTTTATGTTATGAAAAATGTTAGTGGGCTATTTCAGCAGAGGAGTGTCTCTTCTAGCATGGATAAATTGGAGATTCTAGAAGACAAATAGTATCTTGAAAAAGGCCCTGGCATTTTTGTTTTTTTCCCCTTCATATATTAAATGCTGAAAACAAAGTTAAGTTATATGTAATAGTAAGGAGTTTTAGTTGAAATGTGATAGTTTAAAATGGCAAATAAAAATAAGATATATTAGAATAACAAAAGTTAAAACAATGAGCTACCACTGTTTCATATTCTCTCCTAGATTTCTTTTTATTTTGTTACATCTGCATCCAAACCAGCTAATAAATACTTTGAAGCAGAGAAGGAGTGGAAGGAAAAAGCAAAGAAAAGGAAAAATTATGTTCTCTACTACCCCACCGTAGGGACTGAAGGGTGTACTGAAGTGGGCTATGAAATCTGCCTCACTTCTTGAGAACATGATGCTGTACCTACATAAGCAACTAAACCAAATCCAAAATAGCCATAGAATTTTAAGCTCAGAATGGTAAATTAAATGATCAACAGAAATATGTTTCTGAGAGGCAAAAATGCAGTTGCTCATGGGCAGGATGAAGGTATTATGCTCATTTTCCAGGTTATTTGAATGGAAATGGCCATAAAGCAGAATTTGAATGTAAGTGATACAAAAGACAGATGAAGGAAAGCTTGTCATCTGTCTGGGGCTGATGAAAAAGGTCATTATCTGGGGATTTCAAGCAGCAGAATTTAGGCCTTCTCCCACTTTTAGTTCTTGATGCATCCATGTAAATCTGCATGTCATTTAAATAGTTCCCTGCTCTCTGTTTTGAGCTACACTTCTGAAGTTCTTTGCTCTTCCCTAGTTGTTTGAGACACTGGAAGATCTGGCAGCTGGCATCCAGAACTGTGTTTCAGCACCCTTTATTGTATCTATTCCTCAACCATTATGCTGGTTCTTTTCAGCAAAGACCATTATACCTGGCCTACTTCTGAGCAATGAAAATTTTCTTGCTCTTACCAACCATTTCTTTAGTGGTATGAGTCAGTGTGAAAAGGAGTCATTTCTAGGTTTATTTCTGTGCCCTGCTCCCAGTAATGAAATTTTCTAGTTAACTGGATAAAATAAACTTGTCAGAAGCTTTGAACAATTCTCACTTTTGCATTGCTGGAAATAGCTGTTAAACACTACATTGGACCAAAATAACAGTTCTCAGTTTTTAGAGAGATCAATTACTATCTAACTTACAAATAGCACTGATATTGCCCTGAGCATTTTACAGATAAGAGAAAAACAAGCCTCCCACCACATAACTTAGAAAATCGGTAGGAGAGTATGGAATGTTTTTTCAACATTTCAGAGAAATTTGGAGAGTTTTTCTTTGTGCCAAGCAGCATAACTTGAAAAATAAGTTTTGAGCATGAGCTCGTAATAGCAATTGTTTGCAATTTCCATGTGAAGAGACAAATATTCAAATATGACTTCTTTTATACTAAATTTCAATCAAACTGCAAAGATTGGAACTTCTCCTGGTTTTTTACTTTTCAAGCACGCTGTCCAAACGCAGGCTCTGTTCACCTCCTACTCAGGACCTCAAACCAATTTCTTATGCCTCCTTAAAAGACAAACCCTTAGCTCCCCAAAACAGAATCTCATTTCCATTCATCATCACATAACATGCCCTGGCATCCTTCGTTGCCTAGCAGTACAGGTGCTAGTGCAGATTACAGACGACCCTACAAAATGCCAGTGTATTTTCCAGTGCAAGGATCTTCACATATAACTTAGGAAGTCATTCCTAAAACTATATAGCACAGAAAACATTTGACTTTTTTTTTTTTCTTATCAAGACAGAAGCTCCATGTGGAGGAGAAACAGCTTAGACATTAGACAAATAGAGGCAGATTAGACATTCAGGCTGCAGAAAGAGAACAATCTAGATAAGCTGATTAGCCAAGTTTAGCTGAAGACCTACACTCATTTAATTACATTAACTATTACTAACATGGTGAAGAGAAATTGTGAAGTTTTAATTGAAGCATGCTATCTTCTTGACAAAGAATGATTTTGAAGACATTCAGGTAATCACTCTCAATATTAATAATAAAAAACACCATATGGAGACATTAGTCAGGTTGCTGGCATGCTACAATTATATTGACAATACTGATTCAGCAATTGCAAGGTTTATATAGTATGGAAGAGTTAAGATGTCAAAAGGCTGTCAGTAGTAAAGAAACCTCTATCTTTTTAAGATATATACTTCAGCCAAGCTACCAAAAATATGCTGACACATATTTAAGTGTTAGGGAAATCACATCTCCTAAAAAGAAGTATATTGCCTTCTAATCTAACACTTAATGCAATAGTTCCCACCCCCACACTGGAAGAAGGTTCAACTAGAGCAGGGAGACACTGCAACTTTTCCAGAACCAGACTCTGGTTCTGTCTGCTTTATTCAGGTATTTGAACACATGGAAAAGACTCCTCTAAGCCTTCTCTTCTTCTGGCTGAACAGTCTCAGCTCTATCAGCATCTCCTCATATGAGAGATGCTCCAGTCTCATAAACAACTTTGTGGCCCTTCACTCTTCTCACTCTAGCTGTATCTACATCTCTGTTGCACTAGGGAGGCCAGAACTTGACTCCAGATGGGTCTCACCAGTGCTCATATCTCTCAGTACTATTTTGCAAATAATACTTCTCCAGGTTAATTTATGAAACCTGTGTGCAGATTGGCTCTGAATGGCCCTAGCATCACTTTTTAAATCTTGGTGGTTAAACAAAGGTAGCTTAAAAAAAATTGTTACCTCTCACACAGTCCTTAGTTTCAAGGCTTGTCATGACCAATTTGAACTCCCCTGATTTGGCTCAGTGAACATGTTGTCCATGACTGTAGGACTTAAGTCTAGTTGGAGTCTCAGCAAAACTTCCACTTTAAAAAAACATCCCTACATTCTGGAGTGATCAAAAGGTGAGAAGAGGTGACATTCCTGCCTGCTGTAACTGCTAAATGCTTGCTAACCAGCAAAAAAGAAGGGCTGTGCATTCTAATGAATCAGCCTCAAAATCTCCTTGTCTGTCCAGAAAAGGACAGCCTAAAGCATCAAAATCTTCCTTCCAGCTTATAAAAAGCTTTGAATCAGAGATCCTCTAATAAATAAATTTTATTTCGGTCCACCCATCCCTAAGACTGATAATTATCATTATTAGTAGTGTAGTACTACACATAAGAATCTCAGTTGAGCAGGTTTTTTTCTACTTTGTTATGTGGAGTACTCAACTTTGTGCTGTTTTCTGTTAAAGAGAAAGCCAGTAAATGAAGGCAGATGAAGAAATATAGGTACCTACATGTAAAAGGCTGAAAAGGTAACCCTACCTGGTGCCTGGAAATAAAATGAAATGTGGTGTCTGAACCAATGTTATGTATTGTCTATTCTCCCAGGTGGACAACACAGTCAAATGGCCGTTCTTTTTTGTGAGTCATATTGCAAATACTGATTCAGTCAGAGATGAAAATCAAAACTAGGCCATCAACATAGAAAATCTACGTCCTGCCACTTCAGTGGTACTCAGGATGTATATGTTATTAGATGTCATTTCCTAAGCTATCAAAGGTTGTTGTAGCC